TCATGTTTACTTTTATGCATTGAACTACATACGTGTGAGTGTGATATTTATGTGATATGTGTGCTCTCTACTTTGATCTATTTATATGTCATGTCACTTGGTTATGCTCATTTGCTTTGCTTCCGCGTTTTACTCCGATTCAAATGAGCTTTATTTTTTGTACTCACACTTATTTCATATTTATTGAGTACACCATGTTGGCTTGGGTCATATAAGCTTGTCTAACTTCTTTGTTCTTATTGTCAAAAGCTTATATGAACCAAGGATGTTGAAAACCTCATCTCTTTCACACACTCGAGGTTGTATTGTCATCGATCACCAAAAAGGAGGAGATTGAAAGCATCTAGGCCCCTAGTTGGGTTTCGGTGATTAATGACAATACAATATTACCATGACTAACGTGTGTTTTGCAAAAGCAATTAAGTTAGGTCATGGTAATAGCAATTGATTGGAAAATCATGGTTGTCATGCCCCTACGATGGAAATCATTTCAGTTTTCAAAGGATGGACGACAAGGTTAAGGATGTACTAGTTCTAAGTGTCGTTTGGTGTTGAAGAGACACTTAGAGTAGTTTAGGACTTTGTTTTTTCTTTGGCCATACTATTAAGGGGGTATGGACTAGTAGCTTGACCTATGTGAGTCTAGTGGGTTAGGTGTGGTGCACACTTGTCAAATCTAGCACTAGGTAGCTCCGGAGTAGCCCTAAGATCAATTGGAGCAAACTTCATTCACATATGATTTTGAGTTGAAAGTGAATGGAGGGTCAAATGTTGATTGGACGCTGGCAGTAGAGTCCGGTCAGTTCATTTGATCAAGCAGAAGTTGTCTGGTTACGACCGGACGCTGAGTGAAAAGTGACCGGACGATGGGTGCTAGAGTCCGGTCAACTCCAATAAGGTTCCAGAGAGGGAGAATCCTGATCGGACGCGTCTGGTCAATGCTGACCGGACGTTGGTCAGGTTCCGGTTACTGATCAGACACTGAACAACAAAGTGACCGGACTCTGGGTGCCAGCGTCCGGTCAACATCAGTAGGGTTCCAGAGAGCAGATTTCATGACCGGACGTGTCCGGTCAGTACTGACCGGACGCAGGTCAGAGTTCGATCACAACTTAACGGCTCAGTTGCGGGGAGAACAGACCGGAGCGTCCGGTCACCCCGCAGAATGCTGACGCAACCTCCTAACAGTTTGTTTTGAATGAGGGGGTATAAATACTTCCTCTATTCATCCAAGGGAGGTCTCTTGTCCATTTATTCAGCTGAGAAACATCGTTGAGAGTGCTTAGGAGAGCAAGAGCTTAGTGAGGTAATTGAGATTTGAGAATCCAAGATTAAGGGCTCATTAGTGCAAGGAGAGTAGCAAGTGTGCATCCACCCTTCTCATTAGGCTTGTTGTGGTCAAGTGAGAGTTCATGCTTATTACTCTTGGTGATCGCCATCACCTAGATGGCTTGGTGGTGATCAGGAGTTTGGTGATCATCCGGCGGAGCTTGTGGATGACCCAACTTAAGTTGTGAGCGGTTGTGGGTGATTCACCGCGACGGAGTGTCGAAGAATCAGCCCATAGAGAGAACTTGATCCTTGCGCGGATCAAGGGGGAGCTACACCCTTACGCGGGTGCTCCAACGAGGACTAGTGGGAAGTGGCGACTCTCTGATACCTTCGGCAAAACATCGCCGCATTCCTTCTCATCTCTTTACTTTAAGCATTTACATTTGAGCAATACAATTTTTGTCTTTATATTCTTAGAATTGCCATGCTAGAGTAGGATTGGAACTTAGGGTGCTAAACTTTTATACGGTAGATCAATAGAATCACATTCTAGGCACAATGGGTGAAGTGGGCTAAGTGTAGGGTTTAATTATTGCAAAGAATTTTAGAATTAACCCAATTCACCTCCCTCTTGGGCATCTTGATCCTTTCAGCCCCTATCCACTGGCGTGCCCCCGTCTATCTCGCCCGTCGCGGCCATGGCGGGCACCACGCCACCATCACCCCAGCCCCACCAGGAAGAGGTCGCTGTCGGTCCGGACTTCGTCTCTAGCGGCAAGGGAAGGCCTGCGCACGCTAGGCTGTTTGTTCTGACGTTCCCTTTGGACCTTGAGCTTGCTGGTTACCATAGTCCCTACTAGGTAGGCCATGGCTGCTGGCGACGCCGTGTTTGAAGTGTTTCAGGCGTTTTCAACTTATGTTTCAACTGTTTTATCTGGATGTTGCAAAAGTTGATCTGAGATGTTACATATGTTGCAACGGTAATATACGCATGTTGCAAGTGTTTCATGTGTTTTAGACGTTTGTTTCAAATGTTTCATCTGGATGTTTTAAAAGTTGATCTGGTGTTCCACATGTTGCAATTGATGTTTGTTTCAAATATTTCATCTGGATGTTTTAAAAGTTGATCTGGTGTTGCACATACTCGCATGTTTTCAAACGCATGTTTCATTGTGTTTCATATATTTTTAGACGTTTGCTGCAAATGTTTTATCTGGATGTTTTAAAAGTAGATCTTGTGTTGTAGGTCGCCGCCGCCATCTGCCTGTTGCTGCTGGTGCGCCGCCGTGGTTCACGTGCCGGCGCTTGAGGTCTGCAAACGCCTCCACAACACGCATCCACAAGAAGAGCAGGTGGGCGCGGGTCGTGTTTCCACCGTGCGGGCGCGGACACGTTTCCACTGTATGGATGCGGGATGGACGCGGGGTGCAGTTCTGAGCCAAAGAAAACTCTAAATTACCTAATTTCCTTCTTCAATGAGGGTGCAGTAGCATTTGACAAGGCTTTGTACTCTGCTTGGTACTTGATGTTGAAACAGTTGCTTGCTTCCGAGCATTCCAAGAAATCAAATTAGCTCCCAAGAAGGCATATCATAGAGAATTCTAATTCTCATATATCATATCGGGTAGGTTGTGGTATTTCATTGTTACAAACATGGGTTATTGTAAAATAAAAACAACTATAACTTATGTGTGATCGCGGATTCCATGGTGCCCTTATAAGGAAGCCTCTCGTTTTAGACTAGTCAACCTATGCACGCCTTTTCCAATATGCTAGAGCAGACGATTGTTCAAGGGTAAGTTACTTCCTCCTTTACGCAGATGAAATACTTGCTTAAGCGTGAGGCTTAGCAAAAGTGCTTTGACACAGTAGGAAAGGTTACTGAAAATAAGATAGAGCGGCGTTGGGTTGAGAATTGGCAAAGCTGACGTTATATCTCGTTATATACTTTCTTTGAAAAAAATAAGTCAAGACTGTTCGATCGATGATATATATATATATATATATATATATATATATATATATATATATATATATATATATATATATATATATATATATAACAACTCACAGCAGGCTTTCAAAGTCCACGACTCAACCAAACCGACCAGAGACGCGTGTGTGCAAGTGACCGGCAAGACCCGATTCCAAGGGCCGGCCGGCGGCCGCGACGGGACGACCCGGACGAGGCACCCTCGTTTGGCCTTCTCTCGACGACTAGCTCTCGCTCCATTCCATGACGATGCGCTGCGCTGCTGCTGCAGCAGCGCACGATTAAAAAAAAAAAAGTCAAAGCCGCAGCGCCGGCAGCGACCAACCCCACCCAAATTCCGAACCCAGCTCAACCCCGCTCCCTCTCCGTCCGGCGCAGCGGCTGCGAGCTTGAAGCCGCCACCTCCACTGCCGCCGAGGCGAACTCGAAGCTGCCCCCGCCGCCGCCGCGGCGAGCTCGAAGCTGTCCCCACTCCGCTGAACCGGCCCCCGCCGTCCCCCTGAAGAGAAAGAGAGGTTTGCTTCCTCCTCCTGCGCCGCTCCCGTTTGAATTCGATCCGGTTCGTTTCGCTCTTCGGTTGCCTTGGGCCTCGGCGGTGGGTCCTAGCTAGCTCGGTCGTTGTTTCTGCGATTCGCCTTGTTTTGGTTACGTTGTTGCTTTGATCCGCTGCTGGGGATCACGACGCCGTTCGCGTTGCGTGAGGTCAGGGATCGTAATGGTAGCCTAGCGTAGTCGCTCAGGCCTCGGTGTGGTTCAGGAGCAACTGCTGCTGCTCCGTTGTTGCCGTTCCACCTGGGATCGTGTTGGGATCGATCACAAGTCGGACAATTATCGGCAATCTGTGCTTGTTTACCTCCAATTCTAATTTCATGGACCGTAGATTTGCTCATAGCTTCATGCTATGCCAAGACCTCCAGGATGGACTGGACTGCTAGCTTCAGACTAAACAAATCAGTTAGGGATCTGAAATGGTTAGGCATAGTCACATGATTGAGGTTGATGCACATGGCTGAGTGCCAATAAACTTGTTCTCAGGACTGATGCGCTGTCTCGGTAGTTTATCATTTGTCTTCACCCCAGGAAGTTTCCCTATTGGAACTTTAGCATACATGAGGATCAGAATCTCAAATTGCGACCTGATAATATTCATTCAATACTCAATAGTATGATAATCTAGTTCACTAGTTTATTAATCTAGTTTATCCATTCTGTTGGAACATGAACAAAGTCAAAGGGATCACCCTCACTTATAAATCAAATCCAGTACTTAGTTCATGTTCCATTTCAGTGATCTCTCAGTTGTGTTTTAGAAGTCTAGTTCATTAGATGCTGATATCCTGTTGAGAAGATAGTCATATGCCATGGTGTTCTATTTGAAGTGAATAACTAATCACTTTCCTGCGGTAATTTCAGATTCATGAGAAACTCCACATCTGGCACTAATATTCTAATTCAATAATTTGCTATGAGCTCCAATCTGTTGGAACAAGATCAAAGCCAACGGAATTATCCTTCACCTAAAATTCAGATCTTAGTTAGTCCATGTTCCATTTGATTAATCTGTTGTTTATGTTTTCAACATCCAGCTTATTATGTGGATACCTTGTTCATAATATCACTGTGTACTGCAAATGATCCAATGCATTCAAAGTGATGCTTAACGATTTTTCGTGAATATTTCAGATTCATGAGGGGCTCAAGAATGAATCCAAGTGACCGTAGAACGCGGAGCACAATGACAATAGTAATTGTGATGGGTTTATCCTGCTTCTTTTACATACTAGGTGCTTGGCAGAAAAGTGGGACAGGAAGGGGTGATAGTATAGCTCTGAGGGTTAACCAAGAAACTGACTGTACAATCTTGCCAAATTTGCACTTTGAAACCCATCATACTATAAGTGGCGCTAATCCATTGATCATGTCCAATAAAATGATTGAGCCATGCCACATCCGATACAGTGACTATACTCCTTGTCAAGACCAGAACCGAGCAATGGCCTTTCCTAGAGAAAATATGACATACAGAGAAAGGCATTGTCCTGTAGAGAATGAGAAACTGCATTGTCTAATCCCAGCACCAAAAGGATATGTCACCCCTTTCTCTTGGCCCAAGAGCCGTGACTATGTTCCATTTGCAAATGCTCCGTATAAGAGTCTGACAGTTGAGAAAGCTGTTCAGAATTGGATCCAATATCAGGGAGATGTGTTCAAATTTCCAGGAGGAGGAACGATGTTTCCCAATGGAGCGAATGCTTACCTTGATGAACTTGCATCTGTCATCCCACTCGCTGATGGCACCATCAGAACTGCACTTGATACTGGATGTGGGGTATGCTCTCTCACCAGATCTTGTTATATTTTACTTCCTTTAAGATGTGTCTTATATACTTCATAGTTTATAGTTCCAAGGCATTTAGATGTTGGCCTTCTTAGTAAGACTTATCTTCATTTTCTTGTAAACTAACCTTAATTACTTGATCCCCTCCATAGCTGGGAGTAACATTTCTGACCACGTACAGGTTGCAAGCTTCGGAGCTTACCTAATGGACAGAAATGTATTAACCATGTCATTTGCACCCAGAGATTCACACGAAGCTCAGGTCCAATTTGCTTTGGAGCGAGGTGTCCCTGCAGTAATTGGAGTACTTGGAACTATAAAGCTCCCATACCCCTCTAGATCTTTTGATATGGCTCATTGCTCACGCTGTTTAATCCCATGGGAGTCAAATGGTGAGCAGTAAAAACTATTCACAAGATTCGAATACCTGAGCCAACCTTTTACCTTTATATATGTAAATATGCAATGACTAATGAGCTATATTATTTTTCTTCATGCAGGTGGTATGTACATGATGGAAGTAGACCGGGTTCTGAGGCCTGGGGGTTATTGGATACTTTCTGGACCTCCCATCAATTGGAAGAAATACTACCAATCATGGAAAAGGTCTAAACAAGATGCAGAAGAAGATCAACATAGAATTGAAAACATTGCTGAAATGCTTTGCTGGGATAAAATCTATGAGAAGGATGATATTGCTATTTGGCAGAAACAAGGGAATTCATATTCATGTCATCAAAAGGATGGTCATGCTAGCAAGATGTGTGCAGTTCAAGATGCAGATGATGTCTGGTATGTCTTATGTTTATACAAAGTTATGAACTCAAGCTTTATTTTCTAGTTCCTATTTCCATGTGAACTTGACTAAACCATAATCATTCACTACAAAATCCTCATAAGAAAATTCATATATATAACAGTTTATGTTTTACACACTGGAAAAATATAGGATCAAGAATTGATTGCCTTATGTAGGGTAGGGTAAGTTGAGATAGTGATTGCAGAAATTACTACTGATTCACAATGGAAGAAACATGCGCTTCTTTTCAGCCAATCACTTGTAGCTTGGGAAATCTGCTCTGTTTTTATCTTCCAATTACATCAGTTTTAATTTGTGTTTATTTTTGGTTTATAATTTAGGTATAAGAAAATGGAATCTTGTGTAACACCTCCGGTAGAGGCAGCACAGCTAAAGAAGTTTCCAGAGAGACTATCTGCCATTCCTCCCAGAATTCTGGAGGGTCAGGTCCCAGGTATCACAGAAGAAGTCTATGAGGAGGATAATAAGTTGTGGAAGAAGCATGTCAATACTTATAAGAGGGTGAACAAGCTGATAGGTTCTTCAAGGTACAGGAATATTATGGACATGAATGCAGGCCTCGGAAGTTTTGCTGCAACTCTTCATTCTCCCAGGTCCTGGGTAATGAACGTTGTGCCCTCTATATCAGAAAGGAACACTCTCGGTATCATCTATGAGCGAGGTCTGATTGGTATATACCATGATTGGTGAGTCTTATGCTTCTGGCATTCACTGTCAAATGAGATGCTGATGTGTGGGAACTGATCTTGTGTTTTCTGCGATGTTGCACTATTGGGCAGGTGCGAAGCCTTCTCAACATACCCTAGGACATATGACCTGATACATGGCAATGGCATCTTCAGTTTATATCAGAACAAGTAAGCGTTCTCTGTTCTTTCTCCTGTGTTGGTAATGCAAAGGCAAATCATATCTTCTGTTAATATGTTTACGTCAAAATCGGTAGGTGTGATGCAGAAGACATTCTTCTGGAGATGGATAGGATTTTACGGCCAGAGGGTGCAGTCATACTGCGGGACAGTGCTGATGTACTGAACAAGGTTAGAAGTATGGTGGGAGGAATGCGGTGGAAGTCCAAGTTACTTGATCATGAGGATGGCCCGCATGTTCCCGAAAAGATTCTGATTTCAGTGAAAGAGTATTGGGTTGGCAGCGAAGAACAGAACAGCTGATAGGTACAGAACCATGGCTAATTAGCTATACTGGATGCCAGCCTCTTTCCCTGATGCGATCCCCTGATGCTGTTTTGTCGGTTAATAGATTTTGTTCATACTTCATACGTACAGTACTAAAGACCCATAGACGATCAGGGACATCCTCGATTTTTGCTGTGCATATATAGTAATCAGAGCGTTAAGTGAAACATTGGCAATTTGCCAAGACATTGTGTAGGTAAACGTTCGTTTTAAAAAATGTAGGTATGAGACAATACTTACTCGCTACTTTGCCCAGAGATTAAAGCCCCATTTGGCACGGCTCATCCAAAACGGCTTCACCGGTGAAGCCAAAGTCGGTGAAGCCAGAAAAACTGGCTTTTCCCGTCTTTTAGTTCATTTTAACCCCGGCTTACAAAACGGCTTCACGCTACAATGCCTTGATTTGCGCAAAATAGATGAAGCCGAAGCCGGCATAAGCTGTGCCAAAGAGGCCCTAACTATACACATGCACGCAAGAAGATTTTTTCGACTTTGTCTATGAATGTTATCTGTTGATAATGCATGAGATTATATTTATAGTGTATTTCTGCTTGAGCTGATAAGAGGTCACAAGTATTGAATTCTGCTTGAGCAGAGGCCAGAAGGTATGTCTTGGTTGCGCTGCCCCCCTGGCCGCTGTGAGTGCACATCTTGAAACTGCCTCTTGAAAGCCTAAAATTCTGTGGGGCTTTAGTTGTGGCTTTTTGGCTGAGCCCCTGCCAAATGCGAACAAACAGTTTCGTGAGAATGTCAAAGAGAAGCTGTTTTTTTTTAATATTCTATAAGGTTGAAACTACCTAAATGTCACTTCTCCAGTTTTTCTAGCTTTTTAGGTGAAGCCAGTGGGAATGACCCTACGCTGCTAGGTGCATGCTTGTTTTGGACCCAAGACCCATGCTTGTTTTGCAAAGAAACGCAGCAGTGGATCTTGCTAGGAGTCTGTAGCTAGTCACGCCACCAGGATGGAACGATGAGGGTGACAACAACAGTGTCTGCGTATCTGGCCAAGGAGGGGTTGGTGAAACTGTTAAGACTCAGGACGTGGTAGATTAGGAACGTTATAATTCATGTCTGTCTTATCTTAAGGGGGCTACTTGCATGATCGGCCTCCTCAACTGTGTATAGGCACGTCCCCCAATCGATGAGAGTTGTTACGTCCAGTATGTTCCTCCTTGATTCCGGACATGCTATGATACCCCTGGATGGGTAGGAGCGGGTTGAGTTCGTACCACCGCGGAACAAGTGCAGCGTTCGGTTCAGATCTATCTACTCGGCAATTCATCCGATGACTTCACGATGGCCAAAGAATCCCCAAGAAGCATAAAACATTTCCAACTAAGTAATGTATCCTATATAATCTATTCACGAGGCTGAGCAATACAATTGACTATTCCTTACATTCTAGTCTTCAACATGATATCACAAGTCTAGATCCTTGGCCAAAAAACTTAAAGCTTGAGCTTCGACGTGCGCCCCAGGAAAAACGTCCATGAGGATCTCTATCGCCGGGTAGCACTACTCATAACTTGCTGCTGATCGAGTTGATGGGGGCCACTAGAGAGTCTTGACTCGATTATTGATCAAGGTTTTCTCTCTTGCGTGGTTAATAATTGATTGGTGTTTCTTTTGTTTTTTCCGATCTAAGATTGGATTGCGTTGCTCACCGGCCAATGTCTTCATGCGCCTCTACTTGGGTCTGACATTGGCTACACTAGCTTTGTCCTCATCTTCTCCTGTGTGGCATGGCCAAGTTCACGGACCTTCAGGGAACTCCCTCGATCATCCATGCTTCGTCGTTTCATCCACATGATCTTCTTCATCAGTTCGTCATGGTCACCATCAATTGGGATGCCTACACCCATGACCTTGTTGTTGTCATCTCCGACCTCATGTGATCCCATGAAGTTTGTTTGTGAATACTGTGCACCTCCTCTCCAAGCAACAAGACATGGAGTAATAAACATCATTGTACGTAAAAGCTGAATTATCAGATAAGCGCTTTTAGTTCTTGTGGCGCCTAATAATTCTGTTCCTGTGTTGTAGCGGTAGTGCGCACGGAATGTTAGGCACCCATGCACTGCAAGACTCTGTAATCAAATAAACTCGATCAAATCCAGTTTGCGACATGGAAATTATTCATTGTTTATGATCTCCTGTAGTGCATGCAGTAGTGGATTTCACTGAAGATATATATAGACCTTGTTTAAATTCAGGGTGTAAAGTTTTAGGGTGTCACATGGGGGTGACGCAGCGACAGCGGCACTAGCTTGGCCTGGAGAAAATTCAGCAAGCGGAAACGAGGAGGCTGTCACAGACTCACAGGTCACACAGCAGAGGCAATCCACGCTCAGCTGATGAGTCAGTTCGGACATCATAACATCGTGGACTTGTCCCGCCATAGGTCGTCGCCCACCACTAACGCCTCCCGGCCCGATTCAGTACCGCTAGCTAGCACCGTGTGGTGAGCCTGCCTCCAGGTCTGCAGCTGACGCCTCTATGTATAGTGCCATCATGTAGCTAGCTTCTCTGCAAACACATATCCCCATAGCGGAGGAGATCCATCGTCGTCCATCGATCAGGAGACGGGTTCGATGGCGAAACAGCAGCACCAACAGGCTGTTGGCATGGTGTTTCTGATGCACGCTGTCCCCGTGGAGGCAGGTGGGTTTGTAGTCCCGATTTTCATTTTTCAGATTGCAGTTATTATAGTTATACTACAACTGTCCGTGAACACACATGTATGCATGCATGCAGGGCGAGCGCTACGTGAGGCATCCTCTGTTCAAAGATTTTGACCCCCTGGACCCAAACAGCGGGCATTCTGTGCCTGCTGGCGAGCCATACACTCGCCCAGGATGCACGAACGTCTACAAATGCCCTGGAGCACCATAAGCCTTGCCTGTTTATAAGGCAGCTAGTCCGATCCAGCGCATATAGCACATAATGCTTAGGTGGCCAAATCCTGGGATGATAATAAGCCACTCATTCCAGTGCAGAGCTCTTGTAAGTTGTAACCCAATTACAAGCCATATATAGCCTATATGAAGCAGCTCCTAGAGCTGCTGGTACTGATCGAGGTGCCCGTGCGTGCGATGGCTGGCGTGTTGTACTGTACACCACCCAAGTCTCTGCATAGAAGCGCTTGATGTAAATGTAAAAGGGATGGACGACTTCTCTGTTTCGATTACCTACCCAAGTCTGTGCAGTGCTGTGAACAGTTTATCTCTCGTAATGAGGTATAGTCTCTTCCTAAGTTTGCTCCAGGGAGAATAGAAACAAATGGAAAACCTAGAAACTGAAAGCGCAGAAACCTATGTATACGAGCGAAAGTGCATTACAAGAGTCTCAGTAGCACTTTTAGTCCTAGATTCGATTTTCCTGGGAGTGAATATTCTAGGATTTAACAGCGTTTATGATTTCAGTGGTAGACGACGTTCCTGTCAATAGTGAAGCGTCTGTGGTGACTTCTGAAAGGATCAGATGCCCAAGAGGGGGGTGAATTGGGCTAATTCTAAATTTTCTTACAATAATCAAATCCTACGGATAGCCCAATTAACCCCTTGTGCCTAGACAAAGTGTTTCTATCAAATCAACGCATAAAAGACTTGCAACCTATGTTCCAAACTTACTCTAGCATGGTAATTCTATGAATGTAAAGACGAGTATTGAATTGCTCAAAGTAAATACTTAAAGTAAATACTTAAAGTAAATGGAGAGAGGAACGCGGCGATGTTTTGCCGAGGTATCGGAGAGTCACCACTCTCCACTAGTCCTCGTTGGAGCACCTGCGCAAGGGTGTAGCTCCCCCTTGATCCGCGCAAGGATCAAGTGCTCTCTACAGGTTGATTCTTCGACACTCCGTCGCGGCGAATCACCCAAAACCGCTCACAACTTGAGTTGGGTCACCCACAAGCTCCGCCGGGTGATCACCAAGCTCCCAATCACCACCAAGCCGTCTAGGTGATGGCGATCACCAAGAGTAACAAGCACGAACTCTCACTTGACCACGCGAAGCCTAATGAGAAGATGGATGCACACTTGTCTACTCTTGATTCACTAATGAGGTTTCACTCTTGGATTCTCAAATCACAAACACCTCATTAGGACCTTGCTCTTCTTGGCACTCACAAACGTGTTTCTCAGCTGTTGGAATGAGCAAAAGTAACTCCACACACGAGTGGATCTTCTATTTATAAGGCAGCCTGAAAAACAAACCGTTATGAGCTTCTGCGGGATGACCGGACGCTCCGATCGTATTGACCGGACGCTCCGGTCAGTTCAATCCGCGCAACAGTTTCCAAGTGATGACCGGACGCTGTCAGGGTCCGGTCAGCACTGACCAGACGCGTCCGGTCGCTCTTGGAAGCTTACTGTAATCGACCGGACGCGTCCGGTCACACTTTCTCAAGTCTGGACCCTTACTGGAGTCGACCGGACGCTGGCCCCCAGCGTCCGGTCACACGACCTTCCAGCGTCCGGTCACTCCAGACTTGTTCTCCTCAGTCAAATGAACTGACCGGACCCTGCGGCCAGCGTCCGATCGCACCGGAGCCAGCGTCCGGTCAGTATTTGACCCTCCATTCACTTCCAACTCTCGATCATATGTGAATGAAGTTTGCTCCAAAGGATCTTAGGCATTCATAGGAGCTACCTAGAGCTAGTTTTAACAAGTGTGCACCACACCTAACTCACTAGACTCAACTAGGTCAAGCTACCCGTTCATACCCCCCTTCATAGTACGACCAAAGGAAAAAACAAAGTCCTAAACTACTCTAAGTGTCTCTCCAACTTCAATTGACACTTAGAACTAGTTATCCTTAACCTTGTCGTCCATCCTTTGAAAACCGAAACGATTTCCATCGTAGGGGCATGACAACCTCAATTGCCCAATCGATCTCCATTACCATGACCTAACTTAATTGCCTCTGCAAAACACACGTTAGTCATAGTAATCTTGTATTGACATTAATCACCGA